AACGTCATTTTCGCTCGGGCGCACATTTGGGTTATGAAGGCTAAAGACCTACTACCATCTTCCATGCTAAGTCTATTTGCGGTATCACTAAGTTACCTCCTACATTCGCTTTCACTTGACTGCGTTTATCATGTCTATTGTAATTCGCATTGCAAGTAAGTCGATGCGAACTAGAACTATGTTGTTATAAAAAGTACTTTTAGCAATTAACTTGTTATGTATCAATTTATATAGGCAATAACATAATGCAAGGAGGAAACTTCCGAAATATTTACATTAAAGCCGTTTTCCCTCGATTCCGCTTTATGGAGCATCCCTACAACGCTCGGGATTACATTATTAGTGTGCGACTTATATTTCGATTTTCGTGACTTATGTATTTCTGCCAGATTGTCACAATTCCCTGACATCTAGCGTCAGATAATTTTGTTTTAACTATGTGATTCCGCACTAAGTGAATAAAAGAGATCCTCAACGTCGTTATATGCCTGTGAGGCGAGTTGTTAACAGTCCAAGCTTATATTAATTTTGTTGTCACCTGGTAACTTCATGACACCTAGGACTCGAACTTTAGCTAACAGGCATTCAGTTTTAAACCTTGGGATCTTGAAGTTGCAGTCGGAAATCGATGATGTCGTAGAGCAGATCTGTGAAGGATCGACAAACGTCTAGTTAGTTCCGAAACGACTGAAACGTCGTCAACTACTTCTAGGACTAAAAAAGAGGCTCAGCGAGGGGGAGGCCAACTTAGTTATATACAACAACCAAGTACGGCGGCATCCGTCACTTTTTCTTTGGACAGGTCCGGTCCGAATATCCGCGCAGCCGACATATTAGGTGAAGGCGCTAACCAAAATGTAACCACATCTTCCATCAGACGGAAATTAAAATTCTTGTACAGCAACGTGCAGAGTTTGCTATCAAAGTTCGACGAGCTGAAGATCCACCTCTGCCATCCATCTCCTGACGTAATCTCTTTAACAGAAACCTGGTTGATCGAGCACGTGGACGACCGTGAGTTGGCCTTGCCCGGCTACCAGATGTTTAGAAGGGATAGGAAAGAGCGTCAGAGAGGAGGCGTAATCACTTATGTGAAAGACGGGATAAAGGTATCAGACAAAACGTATAAATTTTCGTGCAGTTCCGAGGCAATCTGGCTGTCTATTTAAGTGCCAAGCTCGCCTGACAGTTTATCGACCGCCGAGACGGGACAGCATGGCCGACGCTCGCCTGCTGTAGGAGCTCGAAATGTTCGCCACGCGGCCGGACATCCTGATCATGGGAGACTTTATACGCCTCATATTGACTGGAGCTCGACCCATGAAAATAGTTCAGAACAGACCTTTGATGGGAGTTTTCTGAACACGGCACTGAAGTTATTTCTCACTTAACACGTCATGTTACCAAGTAGAGTACGCGAAGGCCAACAAGCCAACTGCCTTAGTCATGTCCTTACGAAGTCACAGGACAGCATTGCTGAAGTGTCATGCCTGCCCCCCTAGGTAAAAGTGACCACATCGTTCTCCTATGGGATTACTCGCATTTTTCGATGCCCGAGAAACCCGTGACAGTTGGAAGAAACCTTTGGCGCGGGGATTTCAACCAAATGAGGGCTGAAATTTCACGCATTGAGTGGGAGTACGCATTTGTTGGAAGCATACTCGAAGACTGGTAACAGTTCCGAGAAACTTTGCACAAGCTGATCGAAAACCACTGTCCGCTTTCATGGAAGAGGTTAACTAACAGACCAAGATGGCTTACGCAAGCCCTGAAGAATGAAGTGAATAAAAAACGAAGGCCGTTGAAAAATCGCTTTCTGACAGAAGCCCCAGATTTATGTGTACGTACGGGGTGTAGGGGTGTCCAGCGGTGGGTTCACGTGATGGTCGTGGTGGTCGCTCACTTGCTTGCAGGTGAGACTACGCCTAGCGTCCATTTGCTTGCACCCAACTCTCCCCTGTGGCTCCACGAAGCTGGGCTCTGCTCAGC